GGTTAATAGCTGAGCTGCTAAAACGCCGAAGCTGCACAGAGCAGGCCAGGATGTATCTGGGTAAACATGACGTGTAAGAAAATGAGCTTCAGTGAGAACGGCCAGCAAGCTCACCGCTTTGTTCACACGGGCCAAAGGCCTAGCGTCGCCGGCAGCCTGCTTTTCCACCAGCCAATGGAGTTATTGGTGTTTCCCGACGACCAATTGCAAACGGATGCATATATAAATAGAGATGTTAGTGAAAATATCAAATTGCTTATGCCTACTACTACTTTAATTGATAACAGTAATGATTAACATAAAACTAATAAGCTAAAATATATCGGTTTATTATGCCCTATAAGTCTTAATCATCACAGCACTTATCGGCGCGAAGAGGGGCATATATCTGGATTCGCCCTCACATAACGACCGTTTTGCATCTTCCTTTATGTTTAACCTTATTGCAACGTTCTCGAGTTGCTTGAAAATGAACGAACTTGTGCCAAAAGTAAATAGCACCAATAATGGTCCATTGTTCTGATAGATTTACTGTTAATAAGCTACGCTACGGTGTGGGCAGAAGAACAAATAGCTCGAACTGTGCTATTTTCTGGGTTCACAAAAATTACCATTTTTCGTTTGTGACCTTCGCCGGAATCGACATCCTTGTTTTTTGACTTTGCAAAGGATTGAAGCAACGAAAATCGCTGCGTTATTTGCACCATGGTATCGTTCGTAAAATTGGCTTGGAGTTTTTTACGCATCTGTCTAGATCTTTTTTAGGTAGTTAATGTAGTGTAGATAGCACTTTCCTGGGCATTTCCTGTCGGTTATGATGGACGGAACAGCAATCAAGTCCAAAAGTGAAAACAAAACATTTTTGTCTCTTGTGTGATGAGCTCGTAAGAGAGGAATCTCACGATCTCGGTGTCGACATGACAGAGGAAGCTGCCTATTCTGCATGGAAAACCCAAAAAAACTAGTATGAAAATCCGAATTAACTAGTGTAAAGAACCATATGTAGTCGACCAAGAATATCTTGCCGACGGTTTCCAAATTTTTCTAAATACTTTAAAACAAAGTGATACGAATAATGTGTCCTTACGGTATTAAATCGTGATTTGACTGGATTTTTTAAAGCAAATAGAGATCATTTGTTACGTTGCTGTATTTGGATTTTTTATATCTCCATCTTCTATATCGTAAGGCACAAATGCAAATTCAACACAAAAGTTTCGATTTACACACAATTAACGATCAACGCTCAAACGATCAAACGTTTACTATCTCAACTCGAAGACCCGAGTTGAGATGGTGATTATTTTGTCAACGGTCCTTTTTAGAAAGTCAATCCATGATTTTTCCTAGTTGTCTATGTACATCAAATGTCCGTTTGCAATTCGAATTTTTCGGCTAAACGTGACAATAATTCTAATCGTATATCATAAGAGCGAATGTATATTGTGCTGTTGTATCACGGACTTCACGATTGCGTATCGTTGTGTGGTGTGATTACTACTGAGTGTTAGGTTGTGATATTAAATGCGCGTTTATTCAGTAGAGCCGTTCCTCTCAGCATAACCCGTCATCATGTTCTAGGGTCACGGCCGTCCTTTAGTCAGCGCTTCTGGAGGTCCGTTTGAACTCTATTCTCTGACGTAGCATATGTTCAGACGTCTAGGCCTCACTAGTTCTGGCCGTCTATTGTCCTTCTGAGCTATCAACGTTGGTTGCGTAACCTCTGCGGATTTCCAAGACTGCAGTTGTCTCGACGCGCTTCCTTCATTGACCTGAATATGGCACAACTAAATTGCGACGTAGCAAAAATATTGGCAGGGCCTAAGTGATGCGACATTTACATATAGAATTTTGACTGTTAGGTACTTTTGAGTATGCATTTAAACGGATAGTCTTCCTGTGGTAATCAAAAGCCTTTCAATCAACAATAGATAAGAAAAACCTTCGGGAAACGCTTTATCGCTTTATTTAAAGAAAGTTGAGGGGGCATTTTCCATCCTCTAGCTAGATGTAGCTCGCTAGGCGTTCATTTAGTGTAATTAATTTGAAGTTACGGACAAACCTGAAACAATTTTTTCCTCATTGAGTGCGGGCCTGTATCAATGAAGAAGGCAATCAATTCGCACTGTCAGGCTGTATTGTCGTGCTACATTACCACGAAACAAAACACCAATATGTCGATGATTCTAAAAGGGATCGCTTTCTAATGAGAAATATATTAAACAAACATTTTGTAATATTTGCATTAGATCTTTTTTTATATATATTTCATTAGTCAAATGTGATGCATTAACCCGGTGGCCCGCAGGTAACAACTTTATTTATACTTGTTTTATGTGTTTTTCTCACACCTCACATGATAGACTTCGGTAATTTTGAAAACGCTACCGCCGTCATCATAAGCGACTATCGGTATTGTTACGAGCATAACTATACATACGTGTAATGTAAGAAATAAATTTATATAATAAAAAAATGTACGCTCTTTCAGCCAGCCCACAAAACCTTTGGTTTGGAAACAAACAAAAAGTGAACACCGCGTACTATAATATGTTTACTATAAGGTACTATAATATATTGTTCTCTATAATAAATAAGAGCGAAGGTTTGGTATCTGACTTACACCTTCACGCTGGATTTCGTCTTATAGTAAGATCGTTTGTCTTTTACGTAATTACCCAACATTTCCTAGTAATCGCTATCGACTCTGAATTAACAAAGCTTGTAGTTTCTTACAATTTAGCTTTGAATTCGGCAACTCATTTAAGTTATGTGTTTGTAAGGAGCACACATGTTAAGTATTTACGAAAGTAGATAATGACGTTAGATTTGACGTAAAATTTAATGACGTAAATTGTGATTAAATCAGCCGCAAACGCTACATGTGCTAACTAGGACAATTTTGAGACAGAAAATTTTTTGAACGGACGGGGGTGCCCGCACAGATTCTGGTGCTTGCGCATAATACGCAGAAACCAAGCGGCCTTTCCTACTAATTTTCTATTAACCCCTTACCACACAGTAAAAATTGCGCGCGATATCAACGCACGATCGGTCTCTTCTTATCCCGCTGACGAGAGGCGATTACTACCTAGCGAGAGATTCGTTTTATCAATAATTCGTAATATACAAAAAGTAACCAAACTTTCTAAAGGCATCTGTGTTGTTTCCTCAAAAAGTTCTAGGCGCATGTCTTATATGCGTGCTGTTGCAGGTAGTTCGGTTTGAAATGTTTTTTCGATGCGCCTCACGACTGCTCCTAACTTCTGTTTCTACTTAAATTAGCAAAGGTACAACTATTTGTCCTCTACCTACTGCACATACACTAGTAGTCATATCAATCTGTTGTATTTTGAGCTGCCGTTTACATGATACATTTGTTTATTAACATTGTATAACAGTGTAGTCTTACCTTTTCTACGTATTTTATCAGAGTGACTGTACGTGCATTGCTTCAAATGATGTTTTCACTGAAAGCTCAAGGTGATGAAATAAGATCTATCGTGCATTTAATATCGCTGGCATTAAGTTTCATCCTCTTTGCTACTGTAGACATCATCCGCGGATTCTATTGTTATGTTTTAAAATATTTTTTAAGACTTTTTCTAGTGTATTTTACACGAAGCGCAATCAACGCCGTCGTCTTTTTGGATCAATAGCTTTCTGAGCCGACAGACAGAATCATATTAAACACATGTTATACGTGTGTAATAAAATGTTTTCTAAAATGGTTGTTTTAAAGTACTCCTATAACACATTATTGCTCAATTTTCAAGTTTAGCAGCCAGGTATATAGTGCAAAGGTATGTATCTCGACAAATTATGAATTATTAAAATTTCCTGCCGATTTCAAGGTCAGGATATATGTAACCTTGAGGCAAATTTGCTAGACCCCTACTACAATATATTACAATTAGTAATGGATTTGGTAGTGCAAAGTATATGCAAAGTGTCAAATCGTTAAACAGATAATTTTGGCGGCTTTTGCTACCTCTACATCTCGTTTATTTGCTTGCTCCGAAACTTAACTCACTTGTTGTTTGTGTTTCATTGCATTGCTGTGCTTTTTGCTTTAGCTAGCTTCGATCGCAAAAATCTTTTGTGCAATCAAATATCTATGCTGAAGAACTGCCTATTCAACTCTGCTGTATTCTGTAGGGACAACTGGGTCCAGCTGACTCAACGTAGATTATGTGGGTAAATCAAAAAGAACATAAGCTGCATTTGTCGGCTGTAGCAGAAATTGGCTTTTTAGAACTACGCTCTAAACAGACGCGAAAAATCGATAATGAGGTGCAGGATCTGTTACAGGAAAATTCAGTCCAGTTACTTTGAAAACTGTCGCTACAGCTATAGTGAACTACCCTTTTTGCGCTAGGGAACATTTCGAAGGTAGAAGGAATTCGATTCAAGAGTTAATAACGTACACTTTGTACATATATGATCTGTGGTGTATGAGCACTCTTCTAAACCTTCTTGTTCTAGAAGAAAACTGAAACCACACATTCATTAGAAGTACGTACGTGACCATAATAGATTTCGGTCTCATCTGAACCGTCTTCACCCTAGCTTTATCCTACACGTCTTGCAGACATTGCTAAAAGTACGATATCTACGATATGATATGCCGCTAAATGTATGTACCTCTGAGCGGACAGCTTTTTCTAACTGCTAGAGATTTGTAAGTGGATAAAGTTGTCTCTAACTGTTTCCATATTTACAAACATACGTGAATTTCCTAAGAAATCATAAAAAGCTTTAATCACATAGTTCTTCTAATAATTGAAGTGACCATTGGGACTGGTTTGGAGTTAGACCCATGCAAGAAAACGCTCTTCGGCCATTACCTTACGTCCTTTCAGATTTAAAGCACACTTGTAAAACACGTATTTAAGAATCTACGTTACAGAAATTAACGTAGATTCTTAAATATGTGTTTCCTCTATTCATCTAGATACACAGTATAAGCATAACAACAAATAGCGAAAGAGGCAGACGAATCCTATTAATCAGTAAGTTATTTATTTCACTTGATCAATCCGAGTCTCTTGCAACTTCACTTGCAGTGCCGCAATTATAATAAAAACTAATTGATATATAATAGTAACGTACAGTCTGCCAAAGATTTTTAAAAAATGCAATATTTGAGAGCTCTTAAGCAATTATTACTATTTTTTGAACGCAATTTTATTCACTTTTCCGTTTGCCTATACCTACATCAACATATATATGAACTTTTACTTGAGTTACCACTACTAAGGATTGTTATCCATAGCAATATCTCCAATACAAGTAGCGTGCCATTCAACGTAGTTGTAACATTCTGTGAAATAGTAGCTGAATAATAATATATTACAAGGAATAACCGGTACATACATTTGTATATGTGGTTTATATTTTTCAAAAAAAGTCGTCGGAGAAAAATTACAGCATCTGATAATAAATTTCCGCAGCCAACACTGTTAAATTATTTTGCCTCAAACAAGCAAACGCACAGTATTCAAACAGCCAGTCCTTTTTGTAGTTTCTGCTATAGTTTGTTGTTGCATTTGAAATTACTGCAATCTGTGTATAATATATATATATATATATATATATTTATTCAACGTCAGGTTGTTGGTTAATATGCTCTAGGCCATTCACCGTCGTATTCATATGTGTACAACCAAAAAATTATGAGTGTTTTGAAGCGCCTCATGGGTCTTGTGAGAAAAAGCGCGCTTTCTTAGACTCTGCACCCGTAAATGGCCATATTTATCTACGTCGAGGTCACTTTTCTCTATTTTTGTCTCGCCTTTTTCTATCATTTCCTTTCTATAAGAAAAAATCATTGACCCTACCCTTTCTTATATCCGCGTTTTATCAAATCCCTTATCACTCGAATGAATGGCAGAAAGGTAACGGTTCTAAGCTAAGCGCATCTGTTTCATCTTTTATGTTGTAGAGAAATGGCGATTGCCAAGCATACACAGGAATGACTTAAGTCCCAGCCTGTTCATCCTCAGATCTTCTTAACCGTTACGACTCTTGCTTGAAAAAATAGAGCGGCTTCATTCATACGTTCTTTGATAAGACAGCTCTTTTTGGTATTGTTATGTGCATCGTAGTATTGTTATAGGTGATTTATCACTTGCGGGCTGCGTTTGGCCGATGCATTAACGGATCATTCACTCGTGCAGACGTAAATGCATACATTGAGGTAGTTTTCCAATCAGCATAAAACCACAAAGGCATCCATTTACACATACCATATGGTTGTTTGCTTTTGAAGAAATTTAGACAATAACCGCTAATAATTTAATTGCAATGAGCGTTGCAATTGATTTTTGCAGTGAATCATCAGATTGAAGCAGCACAGCGAAATAAGGAAGTTCTGTCCGATGGAGGCCATTCTGCCTCCGTGTACAGATGCACCACCGTAGTTTTGTAATATTTTGCAGCACAGAACATACAGCAAAGTGCTTTTTCAGGATTCGGGTATCAGAGGAATAGCCTCTTTCGTGCCGTTGCTCTGTCGTAGGAACTAATCTAGTCCGTAATGCTGCTTTCCTTAAGTTTATAGGTTCGACATGATCTAGCCTTCCTGACCAAAATCCTTCAAGAACTGTTTGTGTTTTTGAAGATCGGACTCGTTTACCGTTGGTTTTGTCTGAGTCAAGCTCAACTCCACATCTGCCATCGTAAGCTAAAAAAAAAAGCATACGTATGAAAAACCAATATACGTACCGTTAGGGCTGGAACAACGTTTTCAAACTAATATGATGGTAAATAATATTATATAATAGTATACTCGCAATGCGTATATCGATGATGCAAAATTCTATAGCAGGAGTAATGAATTGCGCAAATGTGCAGTGTATCTAATTTTCTATAAGAGGTTTGACATGAAGTACAAGTGAATAATACCAAATTTTCTCATCTATGCTAACCTAAAAATAATACAAATGTTACTTACAATAGGCTCGTATAGCTTATCTCCATCGATATCAACCCAGCTCATCTCCTTTGCACCCTTGTCTCCTGGACTGCACGGCGTCCATAAGTCGTGTACCATTACACTGGGATCCTTCCGGGACGGCCCCGATACCCGCTTAAAGTGCGTGGCCGTTTGAACTTTCCGGACAGGTTGCATTAAGGCGTCCTGAACAACTACCGCAATATCTGCACCCGAATAACCCTCTGAGATTTTGCCGAGTTTTGTAAAATCCTAAAAAAAGTTTATGCATATATTTGTCAAACTTACGAACAAACGGGATTTGATTACAATACATTTTATCTAAGTGAAACTAGCACTTTTAAGAGAACCCGAGAATAAAGCTTTTTGTGAATCGGTGTAAGTACGCATTTAAAAAAATCGCCTTAATTAGTTTGAAATTGTACATAGTCCTCATACTGGTGTTCTTGTATGCAAAACAGTAATTGACCGGATAGCACTAACACTTTCTTGCCCATTAGCAACATTACGAGCATATGATAACATATTCTACTCAGCCTAGTGAACAATATAAAATGAATTCCGCCGACAGCAGTTGATTAATACGTATATTATGAGATCTGTACCTCATCGAGGAGCGAGTGCGGCGTATTTCCAATGTGAATTTTGAACATGAGGGTGCGGGCAGGAGCATCCGGCAAAGGGATGTAGATTCGCTTTTGGAAACGTCGTCGGATAGCCGGATCAAGGCCCCAGGGGATATTGGTGGCGCCCAGAACGAGGATTCCATCATTATCATTATTGACACCCTGCATCTGGACGAGGAATTCCGTTTTAATACGTCTCGTTGCATCGGCCTCATTCTCCGAACGCGTTGAACAGAGCGAGTCGATTTCATCTTAAGACGTTAAGAAATATACGCAGAGAGTAATTTGAGTACGGTGACTTTTCCTAAATATACGCTTTTCGGATATATATTCCTTCAGTCTTCCGTGAATTAGAAATAATCCCTATTGCTCACGGACATTGGAATAGAGATATGGATGAGTTTCAACTCAGGGCGAAGGGGTAAGAAAGGAAAGTGTTACACGGACATAGCCTGCGAAATATCCTGGAGCCATTGCCATAGTATATATCAATCTTGGATAAAAATGTACCATCGGTTCTAAAGAAAGAACTATTCAATGAACGATTTTACCGATGAAAATGATTGCTGGCTTCTGTTCACGAGCCATCTCAAATAGACTCCGGACGAGTTTCTCAGATTCACCCAACCATTTGCTGACCTAGAATTATAAATAAAATTTGTGAAAATCGTTTTGTACATGACTCAACAATGAACGTACGCCTGACGCTTTAACGAAAAACAATTAACGAAGCAGAGTAAAATAAAACTTTTTTTTATTAGAAGGTATATTAGTTCCCGCGCTTTCTTCTTACTGAAAAAGAAAACACAATATTTTTATCCTTGTGAGAATAAATTATTGTAGCATGTGTCCCCCGCTATTGTTTACTATCTTCTCCGGTCTGTCCACCAATGTATTTTTTCTCGCCAAAAATTTTCAGATTTGGTATTTAAGAAATTGCTTAGTTATTCCTTTCATTGTCAGATATGCAGCTCTTGATTTTATTTTCCAGTGAATAGAAGTTCGCAAGGTCTGCAAATATGGGAAGTGCAAGAAAATCTTCTATCCGATGTCTAGAAAGGCTGCTTTGACGATATTTGCTATATATGGCCTCGCATTGTCTACTTCGCAGACCTCTTTTGTCAGGTCGTATATCTCCAATAGGTCAGCTGGGTGCATGCAAGTGCTCCAAATGAACGTGCCGATCAGCTCTCTGGGTCGTAGGTGAATCAACTCTCGCAATCCCATCGGACATAAAGCATAACCTTTTCTTGGCTCTCCTAGAACCATCCATTCTATTGCTGGTTTATTTTGACGTACAGGCACTACTCGTCATGACCGATAACAGTCTGTGCAAAAATCGGTCATTGTGCTCGCTTGATGCTCGATACCGGACGATACGTTGAGACACAGTATTAAGTCGTAATTCCCTGCTGGATTCAAAGAATTCATAAGGTACCGAAGCTTTAAAGCTTCTGGGAAAGCTCAAAGGATTTGAAGTTGTCAAAAACGGTCGTGTGGCTGCAGTAAACTTTTTGGCTAATTACTGAGTTGGTCGTCGGCCCCCTTCCTTTAAAAGTGCTTTCAAATAATCGTCATCAGACTCAGATCATCGGCTAAAACGGGGAGCATCTTCCAAGTCCCGAATATTGTTTTTAGAGCAGTCCTTTTAGCGATAATGCCATGCACAAGGCAAATGCCCTCGTTATTTTGGCCTTGACGAAAAACGTTGTACAAAAAGTGTCGAAAATGCACTTTTTTCACTGTAACGTTTATCTTTGAAAAGTTTTCTCGAGTTGAAATTGCACTCGCAACGATATCGTTAAAACATGTTGACGGTAAGAGCACTTTCGAGCTATGTATTAAAAGTAAACAAGTAAGAGAATGTAAAAGAAGACATTTTTTAAGCACGGAAGCTTTTTAGCTTAATATTTCATCACAGTTCTATACAAAAATACGCAGTATAAGAGAAGAAACTTTTGACTTCTGGGTAAAAACACTAAAGCCATGGTCATTGTAAAATAAGTAATCAAGGCCGAAATAAAAAATGCAGTTAATAGTGCCGTTTACTTTGCAAATATATTTAATCAGCACATAGGATATTGGCTTAGAGTAATAATATTGAATGTCTTTAGTGTTTTTAATTGATATACTAAGTACTTCTTCGTCACAAATATACCAGTTAATGAAAATTTAGTTTCGACAATTTTACAACTTACAAGGTGGGAGCTGGAGACTGACAGCATAATCGAATTTTGTGCCTCAGTGGCTACGGCCTTGGCCAAGTATGATTTACCAGTGCCAGGCGGGCCAAATAGCAAGATTCCTCTCCAAGGCTTACGTTTACCTTAAAAACATGGAAAAGGAACACTCTGTACATAGATCCATTCTGTATGTCTACCCGGCAAAACAAATTCTATTTCTAGATTAAAATGCAACAATATGTTCCTTTGGTGAAGCATATTATTTTATTATCTCAGAAACTGTATTTTAATCAATTGAAATAGCCTACTATTTAGTAGGCTATTATTTTGCCAAATAATAAGTTTCTTCGTCACTTAATTCATATACTTGCGTCATAAATGGAACGAATAAAAGCAAATTCGAGCACGATATTCAAGTGATGCGGCCATTAGTAGCTATCTGAATCCATTTACTAAGCAAACGGTTTGTATATATATATATTCGTTCATGAGTGGGCCAGAATAATTTGTACCTGTGAACATGTGAGGAAATTTGATCGGCAGAATCACGGCCTCCTTGAGTGATTCCTTAGCCCCTTCCAAGCCGGCGACGTCACTCCATTTTATATTTGGTCGTTCAGTCATGATGGCTCCCTCTAACTGTGACATAAGTTTCTTCTTTTCCGAGTCTTCTCCGTTGCCATCTGAGCTGTCTCCGTTCTCATCTTCTTTAACGGTCTTCCTGCCATTCGATCCGCTCTTAAGGTGCTCCTTAAGCTTCTCAGCACGATCAAGGTACTGCATACACTTCGATCGGATTGATTCCTTTGCTTTATCACTCTGAGCCTCGTACTTAATCGCGTGCAGGAAATGTTCAACTCCGTGTTCGTACAACCGGAGTGCTTCTGCATAATTTTTGTTGCGATCTTCCTCTGTAGCCTGTAATACAAGAAAACACGATAGAACGTGAAGAAGAAATTTGAGTTTGCAGACAAGTAACTTACGCTGCGACAAACAATTTTACATATTATCCTTCTCGATTAGGACAATATCATACAAGAGCAGCTTGATAACCACCTTGTTGACAAAGCGAAAAAGGTATTTATATGCTTTGCCTGTCCTAAAGCAAATGAGAAGAAATATTCTTGATGCCATCTGCAAGTTAATGGAGTTTCGCTTTTGTCAAATCCTGTGTATGTCGTTAAACCCCTTTGTGCGTAAAGAAGTTGTGGTTGCATCATCTACGTTCTACTGTTATTATTGCAATCGAGGTTGTCTGCCCGACAATAATTACTGCATATTAAACTATATACTCGTATGTGCTTAATTAGAAACCGATTTAAAAACTACCTTTGTCACTAGCTCGATCGCCTTATTAAGGAAGTTGTTTGTCATGCTTTGCCTTTTAATGTAGTTGTCCGATGGTATGAATTGTTCCTAAAAAATATAAAAGAAACTGGTTAGCTGTCAGATAAGTATTGCTCTTACAAGCTATAGTTAGTAACCCAATATTTCAACACAAATAATAATAATAATTTACCTCCCTTATCGCTAAGACCATAGCATTATTAATGCATTTATATGGTACTCCCGTAAAATTAAAAAAAAAATAGATCTATTCATTATGTACTTTTTTTCGCCAAAACAAGTCAAGATGACACTCAAAGCTTTAATGCAGTGAACTAAGACAAAAACTCTCTGCATCACTATGCATCAGTATTACCTTCTGAAGGCATTCTGGCGCACCCGTACTGGATTTATTTCGAACGAATGTTAGCCCCAGTTACACTCGAGCTAAGAGGAAACCGATAGAGATTTGATAAAAACATAACTGAGATTTGCTAGATAAAGCTTCAGAGTATAAATTAGACTACAATGTTTCTAAGTCTCATTTCTTCATGTTCGGAGGCGCGAACCCTCACTTGGATCAATCAGGCCTCAGACGAATTTCTCAAACCATCGTAAAACACTAAGCAAACACAATTCCTGATGATGGGCGTAGCACTGACCTATCATCTATAGCAACAGTAGGATTTCACAACGCACTCAACTTATGCCAGGCCCATCAGCATCGTCTCTTTATCTGAGCAGTAACAGCTACTATTGGCTGATAAGGGGATACAGATTCAGAGGACCGCAATTGCATTCCGCAGAACTTTTAACGCTTCTCAAGGTAAAGACTGCTGCTAATCCATAGCCAGCATTGAGATATACACAAACCGATCAGCGGTTCGCTAACACCGACCAACAGTAACGACAGCAGAGCTTACCTAATTAGCCATTAAACAAGCACGGGTTGAGTAAGGCCAGCAAATCTGACCAGGTCAAGTGAGTCGCACTCAGAGTTAACTTTGTCACTACGACAACTGGTTCATATCAAATGAATATTCTCATTCGCTCAAACCTCACCCCACTAATACTGTGCTACATCATTCCATGAATAACACAAGAAGAGCTTTCTGCATTTTGATAGCCTGCTTCTTCGTCCTATTCAGTTATAGTGTACTGTCTCCTCATCCAAGCTCTATTTGATTGTATTACTTAACCATACCACATCTGTCGAGTTCAATTGATCAACTCACTGCTCTGATGAGTCAATGCTTCGACTATATGGGCAAATATATTTGGTCGAGTAGCAGACGAACAATGCACATTATGGCAACACCAACTTCTCAAGGAATTACGCCGTCGCTCGACGACATCGGTAATTGTCGCATCTGCAGGCGGCGATAGAACTGACGAAATCATTGACATCAAACTGTTATGGGATAATTTTAGCTCACCTTCGATAATACCAATAGCGTTACTTGTTGTAACCGTAGAACCTTAACAATTCGGCCAAGAGCTCGAATTCTTAGCGGGAGCCACCAATGGTAATATACGTAAAAATATGTCCTTTCCCTTCAGTCTGGCGAGTCCTCAATCTACAAATAGTATGTCACTCTCACAATAATATCCTAACTTAAATTGTCTCCTCAGCTTTGGTTCTGTGTTCATATCCAAAGCACTTTTCAGTTGAGACGAAACCTTGAACTCAGTATCTCACTTGTTCTCTGCGAGAACTGCAGTCAATGGTACTAAGAATAGTTGCAGCAATAGCAGGTAGATTCGACTAGGATTCACAACTTATTAACAAGTTATTTTTGTCCCTGTTAAAAGCGGGCATCCTAAGATTAATACGATTCGAAAACCACACGATTGCTTCGACCTTAATGGTGATGATCGACCTTGGGGTTGCCGACAGTCTCTCTGTGAAACTGGATCGGTTAGTCGTCGGCCCCTAGCTTCTCTTCTGTGACGCCAGCCAGCGGTAAAAACAGTGACGTTCGACACTACAGATTCGCCTGTATCTATGTGCTATTGATTTTGCTGTTATGATGTGGTGCCGTGCAAAAGCTACATAGACAGAAACGTCTGCTGTTTGTTGTCGATAAGGGACGACAATAACAACCAATTGATGACAACAGTCATAACGCAATGAATGGATGGATCCGCCGCACGCAGCGGGCGATCAGCGTACGCTTTGACGAGAATTATTAATTGTTAGGTCGTTACTGTATGGCATCTGATGCAATGTTCCACGGCAGAACCGTACGCAGTCTTACGTCCGGTTCTGCCGTTACAAATGCGTACGGTTACAGAACTCAGCGAACGATACAGAAATATTAGATAATTTGTATGAGTGAAGAAAATCATTTCCATTAGGTAGGTATTTAATGCGTATTAGGAGTTTTACAATTTACGCATCAATGAAAATTAAAAACATTAAAAGTGAAAAATACGATTTTATTTATCAAACTTGTCTTGTTAATGCTACCTGAAGGGTTGAAAAGATTTATTTGTCCATTAGGTAACATCTGACGATTTGTTTGTCAATATGCACGTCAACCTAAATGATTATTAACAAATTTTCTTGAGTGAATCTTTGGATATTAACTTAATAATAATTAGTGGTCCTTTTGTCATCTTTTACACCCCGTAATTCTAATATAATTGAAAAAAAATTATCGAAACACATTTTTATTTGTTTGTTGTATGGTTAAAGTTTTTTTCAAATCTGATTCTCTGCCAGGAGTGCTTTATAGTTTTCGACCATGAAGTCTCTTGAGCTTTACTCTGGAAACTGTAAGGTGCACTTCCTCGGCCTTGTGACCACGGTACGTTCCTTCGCGTCACTTAACAGGCACCGTTGGCCTTTTAATTGAAGATTGTGCTTCCACTAGGAAAAAAATCATCATTTTGGTTAGGTATAATTACGTTGTGTTATAGATGTAACTGGAGGATTACAGCCAGCGGGGCTAAATGATGCACGCGGTTTTGTTACTAGTTTCAGTTCTCATCACTTACTACCACAGATCAGCTTAACCCCGTTTGGCCTTTGTTGTAGTGAATAATTGCCTAAAGTACATCATAAAAGATGCATTATGAACAGTTACGCCAAGTAATCCCAAATAAACGAATAAGAATATCATGTCACAATAGCAGTTATTCCTGCGTGCATAAATAAGAACGGTTCTCATCTCATTGCTCATATTTACATTAAATCTGCTTTTGATTTTTCTGATTTCTGATTTTTAATTTTTTATTTTTAGAACTGATTTTCAATAAAAATTTTGATATCTTTTAGTTCTTAACTATAAATTCAGGTTATACATAACATAATCCTTAAACCCTCTAGAGACAAAAAATAATTTCAGATTGACGAAAATCGAGAGGCGATTAGAAAACCTATTCATTTTTCTTTACTCTTAATTGATAGAAAATCCATGTTTCTAATTGTTGAGTAAACTGGAGAGTTTTAATGTTTTTGCTGATAATGGCATAATTATTTTCGAGTTGTTCGCTGGCCGTCGTCTGTTGAGAGTGCTTTCAGACTGTTTTTTACAACATGGGCCAATCGGGGGCGTGGCATCCTCCGTTCCTGTATCGTTATAATTAAGCGTTTCGGCTCTCCGAAATCAATTATAATTAAAAAAAAAAAAATCTATATATTATGAAGAACTGCACATATGTTGAGATATGGTATATGCATAGTGGTTTAAAACGTTTTGATGCAGAGTGGTAACGCTGGCATACCATTTCTACAAGCTGTTTACATTGGTGGAAAAACACTCAGATGAGACAGAGGAACCGACAGAAGAAACCACAAGGTATTAAAGAACTTAATACAAAGCGCTTCAAAAATACATTCTGCTCGAGGAGCAAAGGAAATAAGGAATCGACTCCAAAAGAACCGCCAGCCGCAAGTGTCTGCAGGAAACATCATCTAGAACAGCTCTGTCGCGAAGTCGTGTAATCTCAAAAAAGACTTATAATCGAATATCAGAGAATATCTCCAGGTGCCATTTGTAGACGATCACACGAGCCTAGGCGTAGCCGTGAAGTGCCTTACTTGTTCCGCCGATCAACAGTCCCCGCCAGACTTCGTATTCGTTTTTCAGCGATTTAAAAGTGGTACTCATGCCAAAATAAGGCAGAGGGCGCTGCGCAGGATTTATTAATTAGGATAATAATCACAGAGCACATTTTAGCGCATTAATCGATAAGACAAGTCAGTGCTTTAGATCTCTTTTCCTCTTGCTTAGTGGTAGCGCTGATTAAAACAAGAACAACAGACATCACAATCATCTCATCGTCTTCAATGCGTTACCTTTATACGAAAAAAGAAACCAATCTTTCTAGAGAATAAGTTTAACTAAAAATTAAAGCCCATTCTTTTATAGAGAGATATAAACTAGGGTCTATTATTTTACCTATCGTAATTACTATCTACCAAATTCATGGGCAAAATTAAGATATTTCGAGTTTTCTCTAATTTGCCTCTAAACCATGCCAAGTTGAAATGGTGATTTACATTTATAGTTCTAAGGACAACAGCTAGTAATGATGTTTTTCTGCCCGGTTACACCATAAAAACAATTTCCATAATTTTTAAAAAATAATACTTTGCATATTAGACATACTAGTAGAACAGCCATTTTTGTCACGCTCCTTTTTCGATACAGAAAAAAGGAAGACATCTTTCAGTTACTCACGTTTGATATTCGTATAAAAGAAAACTGGCATATTTTTATTTGTTTTACGTGAATAATGCGAATATCTTTTTATTTTTTTCTAATATTTTTACATACCTCATGGCGATAAGATCCTTCCCAGGATTTGGTCGACGTACATGTCGAGGTATGATGAAATGAACACATTCAATGTTTTAATATGGGAATTGCCTCATATTTTCGTTGCTGGGAATTGCATTGCAACAAATGTGACCTTCAGAGAATAATGGACGTCTGATAGAGTTAGTTCGTATACTGGGCTAACACTGTGTCATACGGTGTCCTCCCTATGAATACTAATTATCCAGGCCAGCTGAGTATACTCGATATATCACCCAATGGAGGATGCGTACACGTTTCGTCTATTTATCTTTCTTTCCTTATTATATCTTCCTTTCCTTTTTCTATTAGACAATGACTGCAGCTGTTTTCGAGTCTAACAAGCATATTTTTTTCACTAAACGTAGAATAGATAGCACGTTAGACCCTTCGAAATTTATTTACTTAAAAAACGAAGCCCATAGATATAACTCAAGATGAAACGAAAAAAAAATGTGATTCATAAGAAAGCAATTTTATGCTTTCTTATGAATTAAATTTGCTTGCAAATCGCAACCTTTATGTAGGTAGGTACTAAAAAAGTGTCGTATTTTTAAACGGAGTTACTTCTCTGCCAATAATATTTTGGCAAATCCTCATTACGTTTTATTAGAAGAGTGGTCAAATTTTTCATATGCTTTGTTCCGAGGCGTGGTTTAACGTCGAATGGGGAAAGCGCGCCATGTTAGCAAGGCTCAAGGACACAAACGGAGCCGTTCGTTATCAAGTCTGAACGACGAATGTTTGTTCTGGCTGAGACTCACACTTGAGCCGTAGCCCTCGGTTGTCAAAGTGACGTAACTTATTTCAAGATTCAGTATTCTGTATTGAAATTTATTTATTGTACTCTATCTATTAAGCTGACACAATTGTTCCAACTAGCAAATAGCCAGTCCTGTCACTCTGTATACGGTCCGACACTCTTAACACTAAGGCTGGTTCAATAGAACATCCATTTAGGCCACTAGCGTTGCTCTTGCCTGCTCAGACAACGGCGCGTAAGAAACCATTCGTGGACAATATTTGCGAGGTCTATTTCTATAGTAAACGTATCTATATATCCATACAAAAAATCTTAGTTTATTTTATTAAGGCAGGTATAAAAAGTAATTTTTTTTTAAATATAGTAAAATGTAAACGAGGAACAAACAAACGACATTTCCAAACAATACAAAATTCTATATATCATATTTATTTATATCGTTTCCTATACACAGTGTCTGCATCCAGTTATGGTTCAAACTGGTTGTAACTTGGGCAGTCATTTTTACCTGAATTCAAATATTTTGTCCAAACAATAGTCAAGAGGACAGTTATCAGCTTGCTGAATAACTGCTTCTATGCTTCGAGTTTATCGTCCGATATTACCGTTAGGCGTCCTATCTGGTGGCTGGCCCTTAGCACGAAACGAAGTGTGTCTATGCTCGGGTTCTAACCAAGACCAAAACGTGTCCCTAAGATTAGCATGCAAATACGTTATGCACTAAGCTATCACGGGGACTAGTTGTCTAACCTTAACTGAAAAGTGTCCTATCCAAAACTGTCATACATATGTTATTATAGACTACTGTTTGTTCGCCTAACTTGTACACCCCCCCCCCTTTTTTTTTAGTGCAATTTGGACTTCGCATACGAAACGTGTGAAGTACTCCACTGCAACAGCCGGATCAATTGTTTACAGTATCGCTCGCACCATTACGACCGGAGCGCGTGGGTGTATTAAAAAGCAATATGAAGTCAAGTATGGAGTTCATGCATGATTTTGCTTAGTACTTTCTCCTTGTTGGCCTTGTCTTCGAGCTCTTTTTCGCTCTTGAGTGATTTTTTCTTGAAAATACGGCTGCTTCGATTCTGGGGAGCTTGAAGAGTCTGCTTGGAAAGGCTGCACTGGCTTATATATAATGGCCGCTTCTATATCCTTGACATCTTGCTCGTGTAGCCCGTCCACGAGTTCCGACAGATTCATCCCCGATGTCTGCCACCTCGTAGAAATTCCGTCTGAAATGATAGAATTTTTAGTGAATTTTTAGTTGAGCTCAAAGATGGCTAAAAAGTGTGCCTTCTGAGTACCGTTAGTCGCCTTAACTGAGCTGAAATTATGCAGTTTTAATGTAAGAAAGCCCCTAGCTACTTTAAAAAATCTTATGATTTACGGTAATACCGACGTCAGTCGAGCTTTCATAGTAAGTAAGGAGCAACTATTAAGATCGCTGTCAGACCCACAAGAGCGACCGTCTTGAAAAATCTATGCGTTTCGTATGTATGACAATCGGAAAGTTCACGGTCCAGATACATTTATTTGTTACTTAACATGGATAGAAAACTCTTCAATGAGCAGTAAGATTATTTACTCTTTGACGTGCCTATAGGGTACATTTGCGCCGAACTTTTTCATTGGCAAACTAGTAGTGAAATGGTGCGAATACGTACCAACACTTATCTCACAAATTCGTTTAAACAGAGGCACGAGCATTTTGACTGTGTTCCAATAGCCGAGAGAAGCCCTAACTGCACGTAACAGATTGGTGAAGTTCAAATCATCGGTAACAAAAAGTGGCGCCATAGTATAAGCCATGAACTCGTAATATTTTGGAACACGTTTCACCATATCTTCTCCTACTAGCAGCCGCGCTCTCAGGGCCATTTCGACATGTTCCTGAGTCACGAGACGAGCCTTATGCAACTCGACGATGGCCTTGCTAGCTCGAGCTCGGTACTCTTCTTCAGCTGGGAACATCTGTTCTATAAAGATTTCGATGAAGCGATGTACGTTGCTCTCATGAGCGCATCGACAAAAGTCCTCAAGCAGTTTATTTCGGTTGCCGTCCAGAGCGTAGTCGAAGATAATCATTTCCCCGTAAATTTCGACAGTTTTATCGTTTTCATCCGTAACTTCGCTGCCACTTAAGAAATAAGTGGTCTTGCAATCGGGACCTGGGCCTCCATCATCGTTTGGACTTTTAGATAACGTACCACATTCGCCAACCCTGCCACTTGTGAATGAATCATCTAGGTTCATCTTGCGCGAACCTTGTGAAAACCCATCTGCGTTCTGGGTGCGCTTTCGACCCCTCCGAGAACTCGTTGGAGGCTGCAATTAGTAGAAACTTTGAGCTGTTATCGGATTAAGATGTAACTATAATTCGATATACTATTTTAAAGAAAAAACGCTGCATACTACACAAGGCACTTCAGCTGTGTTTTCAGATTCCAGGCAAATGAACTCTTTGGTATTGATTTGATAGCTGCACTGCTATATATACACTAATTAGGCAATTGTACGTAATAATAGTAAACAAGCGCTCATTTGTTCATGTCAATCTCCAAGAAGGGCGTAAGTCTCCAGCGAATAAGTTAGCTCAAGCGCTTTTAGCTTACTTAATTAAAAAAAAAATTTGAAAAAGTCAATCACATGGTGGCCCACACAGTCTTCTGTTACCGATTGACATGAATTCTAAGTTAAAGGCCATGCATTGAATTTAATTAAATTCGATTGCATTTACTTCGTTTGAGCGGGTTAATGACGATTCATTAATTGAAAAGGTTATTAAATTGAGCTAGTGGCTAATTTTTATGTCAAAATTACTAATTCTTAGTTTTACAGAAGCATACTAACTAGGTTGCCGCAGCTGCTTACTATTTATGTTTACAGGACTTTTCGTTTCCCATATAAATAATATTCTTCCGGCTAGGATTTAGTTTTAAGTTCTATGATGACGTGTCGAAGGTCCGCTTGATAATAATGGTGATCGCCTCTATTTTTCGCCAGCAGCTGTCGAAAGATGCATGGTTTTATTGTAATACGATTTAGAACTTCCAGAGTAAGTTTAATGAATAATGCAGAAATTGTAATTATGCCGGAGTTTAGCTTGGATTTTTACATTAACTATTTAGTAGGAGCTATCTTTTACACAAAAGATAAGATACACAAAAATCTCATAGTTCCCTCGTAGTTAGTTGATACTGTTCTGAAATTTGGCTGTTTTTCTACATAAAGGAGCACACTGTAGATGATATTAAATGAGCAATATAGAACATGAACTCCTCATCATATATTTCAATTATACTAGTCGTATAGGCACGTCATGACGTTCGATGGCTTTTCCGATCTAGTGCCGTATTTTTTCGTTCATATCCGATCATAAACCATAGATGGGGTCCGAACAGCGATTTTAAATCACATCCTTCTATGGAGAACCCTTTATGCGTCTCATTTTGTATAATATAAATTATACAATTTGGTCAATAATTGTCACAGAGCTGCTGTTATATGCATTGATACGACCTGTTCAGGCATAGTAAATTTATTGAACACCTTGCGCGCTTGATGCAGTAAAGGTAACTTGAAATCGAGAAGTTAGACTCGGTCTATTCCGGTAAGAGCTTCGAGTAATCCAAGCGAGTCTGCCAACGATAATAGTCTCTCCTTATATTGTTACAATATCCGAATAACCCCTGAGAGCGTTAGTCATACGTGTGTCTATATATGTATCATGGCGAGCTAAAAAGTGTATACACTTACAGGTTTTTTTAGGTTGGGTAAAATTTTCGGCGACTATCCATAATTTCTGAAGCATCAAAGTGTGAAACTAGATTAGTTTTTTCTACACTTTTTTTTTACACAAAATAGAGAACCAGACACATACAAAGAGTGTTCGAAAAGCAATCTCATGGATAATAATGCGCATGGGTTAAAGTAGCCAAACTAAACGTTCTACAGCGATCCTATTAGAAGGTTAAGAACGTCTTCGGTGAATTTTTTGTTATAAAATTTGATTCCGTCCACGGTTTGATCATTTCTTATCAGATAGCACTACTTTCTGAACGCTCATGGTTTTTAGAACGTTACATAAATGAGGCGATACATCAGCAATACTGAAAAGATGAAGGCAGTTAATTGAGGTGGCTAACTATGGACAGCAGAATTCCGTATTCCCGTTCCAGATGCGACATCGAAACGTTATTGTCTTACTGTATTTTCATCGAGACAACGTCTACTGTCCGCAGCAGCGTCACTCTGGCCTCTTTTCGTCCTTGGTTTCTTGGCCGGCCGCTGGGGCATCGACAATTCCTCTCGCTCGACATTATCGTTAGAAGAGTTCGAATCGCGTAGTTTCTTTTTCGCCATTTTTTCCCTCGTTCTCCTTCTTCAATTGGTGGAGAAAGCAGCGATAGACCGGCTGCTCATATCTAAACATGAATTAACGTTTTAATTATTTGCTGAACATAAACGAAACTTCTTTGCAGATCTCAGCTAGTAAATACACATCACCCTCAGCTGATCAAATAACTGCATAAAGCCATGAAAAAATTCAGGAGACCGACTTGTCTTTCGGACACACAAAAACAGTCATTGATGTTCTAGACTATTCTTCGAATATAATATGCTCGAACAATACCCACGAGTATTGTCGTCCGTTTTTGAGACGTTCTACTCAAGACAAATAGAACCTTGCCTCATTTGTTTTTTGAGCCTTAGCTGTTCATTATATAGCTTGACCTGACGGCCATGGTTCGTTATAAACGAAAAATAGCAGTACATTTATTAATTGTCCTGTGTTTTTAGTCAAGCAGCAAACATTTTGGAAGATAACAATTAGTGAGGTGTTGATCTAAGGGCTGCCTTTCATAGTAATATGTGTGTACGTACATAAAGTACTTTGTTATGACAATTCTGTTTTTATATCGAAGAATGACTAACGTGTTTGTATTCTTATGATTCCGTAAACTCTCTAAATAAGTTGGATATTTTTTGAATTTCTTTTAACATTTTGAGATAATTTAGTTTTTGTATATTCCAAATAAGATTTGTGCAATTAGAGTCTGAAGTTATTTATATTATAGCGGAGATTCAACTGAGAAATAGTATTTGAAAAACTTAATCACACAGTGTTTAACACCTACATTTTGTAGCGGGGCAGTTTTTGACTGCAAGCTCCTATTAATTCAGCAGATCACAGATTAGATGTAGCTACCGAGAATGAATATGCAGAGATTTGTAATCACAAACTCACAGTAAATGATCTCTAACCAAGAATATCTCTATTGTACGACAACAGTAGTGATTTTTTTGGCCGTCTTTCTGCGAACTACTCACGGAGAGCGTCATAATAGGGTGACGCAGGATACCTTCACTGTGACGACGACAAATTCTTTTCAATTTAGCAATCACCGTAACTATGTAGGGAGAGAAACAGAATAATAGGGCACATATTGGTGACACAATGGCAGCACAGCTGCTACAATGACATTAACAACAGCGAATGCAATTGTTGCTAAACAGAATGGTCGCTGGTTTAATGAGAGTTTAGGCGGCGAAAATACGAATCAAGCGTCCGTAGCGGCGGATTACAGTTAACAGACGCTGTAAATTCCAACGGAGCTCTAAACCTGTCCCAATAATGAACTCAGCAGACTTTTCAGAAATTGAATAACTTCTCAACTAGCTGGGTTTGAATGATGACATTTAAATATGTTTTAGAAATACCCTCCTGTATTGTTTACGCATACGTAATGTCTCTATTTACAGCTTCTCCAGGTAAATCTACAGTGAGGTGTGCTTGACCATTAATTTTCCTTTCTAGAGCTTGGAAAGCCCCGTGATCGCGCGAACTTCGTTTGAGAGAATAAGCGGGTTGAAGCCAATGTTGACTATTGATTTGTTCAAGCTAGGCAGTAATTGAAGCGTGGCGATCGGGTCTGGTATTGTCATCGAGTAATCGGCTTGCATTCGAACCATGGGGAACCCATTTTTTTCCCAGTTTCCATATTTTTAGGATTTAAAGCACAACTCTGCAACATGTCACATGCAAAATGACAGCTTTGACCGATAGAACCTTTAAACTCTTAAGTTTTGCTTTCATAAAAAGCCCCATCGATGGCGACGGTTCGTTCTTATCTCTCGAATTTCAACATCTACTAATCCTTCTTGGTTTCCAGCACTCCAATCTCTGTTCTTAAAACGTTTGCACAGTTTATGCACTATGGTTTCCCTTAGCATTTTTTTGAGCAAAGTCTTCACCAATTTTCAATGAATTTCCGCAGCACTGTAGCTTTTAGAACCACAAAAACTTGATCACTGAGTATTGATTTTCGAGACTAAAAGAGAGGTTTTTCTGAAATCATTTCACATAAGTTCAGCCTATTTTCGTTTGCAAGTTTTTTGAGGAGTGGAGTATTTAACAGCCAAATTTTGCTCAGTGTTGAAGTCCGGCGGACTGCTTCAGTCATATTATAATAATATGTTCAGGCTAAAAAAGCTCAGGCCCTACGCAGTACCCAGTTCCACAAATGCTGATCATTGCCAATTGGTACTGGAGCTCGGTGAAAAGCTCCGTTGGCCGCGTTGCCGTAAAAGTCTATGTATAATTGCAAAGCCTTAGTTTACAGTCCTTATTAGATATGAATAAAGAGTGTTTTAAACTCAGTAGCCAAATGAGTCACACCAAACGGAAAACAATATAGTTCATATATTCGGAATTGATTTCTTATCCTATCCCAAGTTTCGATGCTGCCGATTATCGTCGATGCTTCATGTTTACTTTTTCCGTATGTAACATACCCTGAAAACGCTTGATTCAGGAAGTCGCTTGAAATCTCACAAAGACAATATAACCATCCGACAGATAAAACATTCAAATTCAGAGTTCTGCCTACGTGCAAAGGAAGAAAAAAGATGCACCTCTAGGTCTAAGCAACTATCAGTTGAATAATTCCCCATTTTTGTTAAAATACTTCAAAAAAAAAATCTCGGCATCTTACTCTTCAATTAATTAGACATTGATGTATTTGATCGTTATTCGAATTCCAGTGCTATATATAGTTGGCATTCATACTGTATATAATACGTACGTTACGCACTCAAATCTTACCAACGCTCTCACTCAAACCTTTTACTAAGAACTATAATGAATGGCACAAATCTCAAAAAACTAAATGTTTTCGATGTATAAAAACAAAATGACAGAAAATACGCGAAGTTTGAAAAGTGTCTTGTTGCAATTCGAGTGTTCCATCTTATTCTTTGTTACGATACTCGGGGTTTTATGGTAATGGCTCACCGCTCAAAGAAGATAACATTAGACAATCTAGGAAAATACCCGAATAACTGCAATGCTTAAAGCAACATCCGTTCGCTGATGGACATCACCATTTTCTACTTCGAGAAAAGAAGACACGGTTAGTTTTTTTTACATATTTATTTCGACCTCCAATCACTATCTATCTTAATAAAAAAGAATAAATTTTTCTCTCATATGTGATATTTACACCGGGGCACCTAGCCCTTTTATTCTGAACCATTTTAGTCTCTTGTTTTGCCCCTCTTGCTTTTTGCGTTTACACATTTTTCCTTTTCATATGTTAGCTCCTTTATCCTTCTTTTCATCCTAATATCGTCCTCTATCCTTGCCACCCGCCTATATCGTACACCTTTATGCCCGCTTAAATCTTCGCGCTTTGAGACCAGCTAAGCGGAAGACTGTATCCCGTTCTTTGTTATCGCCATTGTTCGCTCTTTCTTTGTTATTCTACTGACACGAACTTCGGGTCTGTGCCTATCGGCTCAACACGGTATTATTCTCCATCGTCAACGCAAACACTTCAGTCTCTTTATTTGTGATCGTTGTTACTTTCGTTCTTGCAGTTTCCTCTTTGTTCTGGTGAAATCGAAACCTTTGCGATGAGAGAAGACTAATCAACACGTTAAAAGCACAATCCCATAAACGCAAATGGGTAGTCACGGGTTAGTCACATTACTTCGCCGGTGGCTCAGGCGTTTGTTGCTTAACCACAGTTGCCGCCGTTTCATTGCTTCTGCACCGCAGAGTTGCCCACTACCAGATTAATATCCAGTTGTACGCCCTTTTATAGTCGATAACGCCCCCAGCGTTTCCATGTTAAAAAGAATAAGGTTGGTCGTGCGCCTAGATTGCCCTGTCTGCATTCTCGTCCCAGATGCAATGCAAATAGAAATGTCGCAATGAATCAGGGCAGGTGAACAAAATATTGTTTGCTAGTTACGCAGCAGCAGCAGCAAATGCTACTGTGCCGCATAAGTCACAGGTAATAGTCAACCAAAGAAGACGAGGCGGCAGTACTTCATAAAGGAGTGCAGGAAGCTCCATGGGGTCAACAGGAATTATTGATCTAATAGGGCTCCTTAATTCAGCCGAGTCATCCTGACTTTCAAGTGTCGACACATGCGACATACGTACGACTTTGTAGTTCATCGAGGTTATTTCATCGCGTAACAGACAACGAAGACAACTACAGCCACCGTCTTTTCGACCACAAAGCAGGCCTGCGGCATGATCGAATTGGCTCAAAAGTCGATTTTCTGTTGTTAGCACATATCATACTGCAGATTTGCTGCATAAGAAATTTACAGATCTATAGGTTAGATAATAGATCGTAAAATAGATTGACTGATAGAAGCAACCACAGCCGAAGGGAGGCAAGGAAGCACTTTCCTACTACTGTGCTGCTTCTTCCTTGTAGAACATTGTCTTTTAAATAACCGATAATATTCGCAATGAAACTTCGTACTCCCGTATATCTTTGATTTTTTTTTTTGTTTTATCTTTCTTCGGTATTCCCTTCAATTTCAATGTGTTTCTCTACCGCGGGACGAAATTCCGCTAGGTGAACGAAGTCGAATGAGTTAACAGCATCGTAATGTCGCTTCATCAATGTGTGTCAATAACGGTATATTATTTCTTATATGTCGCCATGTGACCAGCTCCCAGAACCGATCCACACGCAACCAACCCACAAACCAAATATATCGTGGACTATCAAACGGAACGCATTTCTGTAAATAAACATGTAATCTTTGACTGCAGACGTTCGTCCACATCGCCAGATTTCGGCCTCCCTCAAAAAAAGCGAATAGATCTCACAGTCCGAGCAGAAGTCATACGTGCTAATTTATTTTGTCTATTTGTCGCATTTTAACTATTGTTCCGTGCGCCGTTACTCTATCTTAAGCGTTTTGTTTCGGTGATCCAGCCAAAAGCCTTGCTAACATCCCGCGAAAAGCGCCCCCTGCACTTCGTGCTATGAGTTCGCTCAGTCAAACGCAAATGACACAGCAGGTTAGCCTCGGCCATCGGGGGTAGAGCTGACCCCTGGTCGTCACCAACATCATCATGACGCCCCATCATTATCAACCTCCTAACTCACATTATTATCAATATATAGTGTTCATTGTCGTATCATTACTGTTATTATTAGTCATGTTATTCATTACTGTGTCGTCAGCATAGTCAATGATGATCGTAATCTGTTCAGCATCTGTTTTTCTTAAATGTCGTTGCTGCTGCTGCTAATCTGGCTGTTCATCTTATTCGTATGAACTCGTCGTCCCGTTTCCCTATATCCTCTCTTTTCTATTATATAGCATTGTGGTCGATCATTGCTATTAGTTCTCACGCGCGTGTTTTCCTTAATCATTATCAATCATCAGCGCTCATTTATTTTTCTTCATTATCAGCATCATGGTTGCCATGATCAGTAATCATTATTAGCATTTTATCTTAATAATAATCTAAGGCCATCCCACTCTTCTCTTCCTGTCGCATCTGTGTCATCGTCGTATTCATCTACACTCATCAGCGTCAGTTACTATAACTCTATATATATAGTGGTATATATATATATATATATATGTGGTATAATATAGGTACGATCTATCCTTATCGTCATCTTCGTTTTTCTTGTCAATATGGTCAATCATCGTTTCCCTACAATATAATTTTCCAACATGCCTACCTAATTTCCCCTGTCTCTATATAATCTCGTTCCCATAATCCTAGCAGCATCGATGATCTCGCCTACTGTATCATGAATGTCATCTATCATTCCTTTATTGTTTTTAGTATATATAGAAGAGCAAGTAATGTTGTTACCGCGCCAGCTATCTTTCGCTATCTCTCTATTGCGGTCTCATTTTTTTTAACTTTCATTATTTTTTCTACCGTATTTTCCTGTATTTATCCATTGCACTCGGTCTCCATACTGTCATCACTCAGTCCGCGCTCTAATGCTCGTGCTACGCTCAATTCTTATTTGCCTACGAACACCAACTTTTGACCTTTTTCTTCTTTTTTCTATTTGCCTCTCTTGTTAATTCTATCGAGCTACCTACATCATTTGTTTAGTTATACTCGTTATTACTATTATCAATTACATTCAT